AAAATCACTCAGTAAACATAGTAGTCCATCATCTTTACACAGCCAGGTATCTTCTTCAGGTGATGATGGAGACCAAGATGATCTAAAGCACTATATGTTAAAACAGTCCATTTGTATTCACCAGGTCATCGCAAGCACAAATGTTGAGGATGCTTCCTCAAACTAACAGCCTGATGTTGGACACAAAACCCCCAGCAAACAATACAGTAAACTGGTGTGACTTAGTACACTCAGCAAAGTTTTCTTCAACAAGTGCTCACGAATTGTGGGGTGGGTAGAGCAGATCAGCTACTAACTGGAAGGTTGGTGGTTCGATCTTTGGCTTCCCCAGTCTACATGCCAAATATAAATCCTTAGGCAAGATACTAACCCCAAATTGCTCTCGGATGCGCCCATCGGAGTGTGAATGTGTATGAATGTTGGTTAGATTGTACTTGAGTATAGAAGGAAATGCTTGTATGCATGCTATATAAGAATCAGTCCATTTTATAGACAAAAGAGTTTCTAAGTGGTAGAAAACATTATCATCGCATTAAACTGCCTATGATAATAAAGCAATCAGGCCAGCTGGAGTAAGGACAGCTAAAGTCTGAAGGTGAGCAGCTTAGCTTGGCTCAAGCCTCTGCGATTAAGAACAAACTGAGTAAGTGGACGAGCAATGTAAGCCTCAGAAACTTTTACTAAGCTCATCAACAGAATCCATGCTTTCGGTTTTACATCTCTGCCCTGCGTTATCATTCAAGATTATTTTGAGAGGAGTCAGAATGCGAAACTGAGCCGGCAAAAGAACGGCTATCCATTATGAAGCTGGTTCCACATCGTGCAGAGACAAGTGAACACATAAATATAAATCCTCTGACACAAAGAGAAGCTGCCTAGAGGTCAGAGTGATAACTTCAGCCATTTATACGTACGGCGTTTCTGGGATTGGACAGAAAATCTTTCAGTTCCTATAAACAGAGCATAACTGTGCATAAACTCTGGGTTGCAACCCGTTGCCATTTAAGGTGCTGAAAAAGGGAGATGGAATTGGGCAACGGGGTTGGTGAAGTTTGTGGTCACACACAGTTTATTTTAAGTGTCAGGGCCAGACTTCTTTCTTTAGTATTTGCGCGTGTGTGGTCAGGGAATCACGTCTGAAGGTAATAAATCTGCAGAACATCACTGTTAACTGCTTGTGCTGTCCAGAGCACAAAAGTCATTGTTAATGCAGCAGGCGAGAGCCCAGAATTTAGTGCGTTTCATTGCATAATTTATTTTTGTTGCGTCTAGCCAGACTTTTTGGCGATCGCTTAGATCACCCACATGTCCTCTGTGAATAAAAAGGGCCCAATTAAATGTAGATTGGCAACTGAGGACTCACATTTTACTGACCCCCTCTTTTCTTTCTTTGTTATTCTCAACTCGTATCCATGTTGTCCAAAAACACTTGTCATCAAGTTTTCTACAGGAGACAGAGGCTCTCGTCACCAGCACCACCCGGGCAAAGTTTAAGCGAAATTGCAAGATGCACCATTTCAAGTGGTCATAACAAACAGTCCTTTGGTACACAAGAAACGTTGGCTCTGAAGAGAAAACTGGCAAAGTTTAAATCGGGTATTCTTGGAAGTTTTTTTTGTTGTTTTCTTTTTTCTTCACACCTCTTAAGATTGTTTAGATGCAAGTTGCCCATTTTTGGTTATCTCTTGCTTTAGAGATGTTTGCTTTCGCGTGAATAAAATCTCACTAGATGGCATTCACCGTGTTGCGAGTAGTTTCATGTAGGATATTATCTTTCTATTGCACTACATCCACCAGAGGTATAATTGTGCAGATGGAGGCGGGCATCCACCTGGGTCCTGCTGGTGTCAGCGTGTAATGATTAGAATTTCTTTCGTTTATCATTATTCAGCAGCTGGTACCTCATGACCTCAATTAACTCAGAGATAGTTTAATATATTGCTTAATCTCCATAACAAGAGTCTTAAAAAAAAAAAAAACATTGGCCAATCAGATCACTAAGATATTTAGGAACCATGAATGGATTTCAAGGCAGCAAATATGAGATATTTCACGCTGGGACCTAGTGCTTGACCGACTAAAAGTGATATTCACAGAGTCACACTAGTAAGTGTGCTTGAATATAAAAAGATAAAGGTCTTTTTTGCTTGGCCCCTTAAGTAAATTCACAAAATTCACCAAATTTAAGCATGTCTACAACCATAAAAGTAAATGCATCATATTTGTCCCCTTTTTTCTGTACCCATTTTCTCTGAAGACATGAAACACCGAGGCAAACATGACATTGATTAATCCAGTAAGCACTTGATTGTGTAGAGATACTAATCAGAGAAATACGATGCTGGAGGCATTGTAGTTTTGGCACTGCGGGGTAGGAATATACGGCCCTGCAACAGCAGGCATTACAGCTCTGTAGTATGCGGGCAGAAATCCAGAGTCCCCTCATTCAGAGAGGCTCATATTTATAGTAGAGATGCTAAATCAGGATTGGCTCCTGACCAGCAATGTCCTCCATTCAGGGCCCAAGAGATGCAGCCGAGTGTCGGTTTCCTCACTGCTAACCTACATTCAAACACTCGCTTCATACATGAAGGGCTGCAGCAGGGACACCAATATGTGGCATCTTTATGAAATAAAAGTATGAATTAAGAGAAGTTGCCCTGTGACGTGGACTTGGCTTGCAGGGTTGGAGGCTGACAACATTGCACGTTTTGGCAGATCACAGCAGCGATTTGGCACGTAGGGAGTTTAATGATCTGCTGGGTCAGATGACTATTGTGTTATGGCTTTTTGGTTGTCTTTATAGTTTAGGGCAATTTGTATACTGTAGTTTCTAGTCCATCTTAATGACACTTACATTCTAATTCATGGGCCGCTTTGCTTCACAACACGTTTTCTAGCATCCAACTTCACAGGAGACCATTTCCCCATCAGTGCTGGTACAATTGCACATGATTAGTCGCTATGATGGCATTTTGTTAATGTTCTACGTTTACAGAAGATCTGTGAAACAAACAGATCACCTTTTTACGGTCATGAGACTAGGTTATAATAAGAGATATCATCTCCTGATTTACATGCATATAACCACAAAGCATTAGGCGCCTCAGGCAGCCACAGTGTGATGTGTGATCAACTCCAGCTGAAGGTCAGTCTCTTAGGCTACATTCAAATTGGACTTTTTTGACCCTATGCGACACATATCCAATCATGTTATGACGGTTTGAACAGCACAAATCCGATATTTTCAAATCCGTTTTAGAAAGTGACTGCTGTTTGAACGGTCATGTCTCATTAAATCCGTCTTTTATGTCACTGACACAAGACAGACACCAATTATCAGCGCCGGAGAAGGCAAACGAGAAAGCATGGCGGCGGCGGAAACTGGAGACTGAGCGTGTCAATGGAGAGAAACTGAGGTTTTGGACTTGATTAGCATATGGGGAGAAAATTCCATTCAAGTTACAACTGTGCAGAAATTGATATACTGCTGCGACAACACCTACTATCTCTGTAGCTGCCATTTTTACTTCCATAAACTTCTTTTGAGCGAGCGCGAACTTCAGGACATGTTGAGGAGGTAATTCCCCCACCCCCCCACTAAAGAGCTCAAGTTAAGGTAGTGTGTGAAACTTCTGGTTTTGGATCGATCAAATAATCAACGTTACTAATTTACAAGCGTTTGTTGAAACAAACTTTGAAAACGGGAAATTGTGAAAACCAAAAATGTGCCTTGGTGAGGCCAACAAGTCCAGAAATGTGAAAGGCAGTAAAGCACTTTACACAAACCATAAATCCTGCATGATATTGGTTTATGGAATTACAGCAAAAACAAGTTTCTCCTCTCATATTTTATACCACAAGATGTAATAAAGGGTTAGTCAGCATCTCGCAGCAAAAATAAATAAATGAAGCCTACTGCTACGTTATGTATTGCAGTTGTTCACTGGTAGAACCTGGGTAACATGAGACTCACCTCACACAGCTGTCCAGTGAACTCCGGTGGGCATTCGCACACAAAGCTGTCCAACACAGCGCGGCAAGTTGCTCCATTCTTGCACTGACCATGGCAGGTGCTGGTATCTGAAGAGAAAGACAACAAGAATGAGCAAGTTTCCTGAAAACATACATTTTAAAAATGCTACTCCACTAAAAGAGTGAACGCTGCGCTATCAGTTGTGCATAGGTTAAGTAAAAGTTTGGAAAAGAAAAAAAAACAAAAAACTAGTGAAGTGAGAAGGGTGCCAGATAGACTCTTATGTAACGGGGCATGCATAACACAGCTGGAGTTTCGGTTTGTGAGACGAGAAAGGAACACGTTGCCACACGTGTGGAAAGTAAGCGGTGCCAAAGTACACCTAAGCTGTGCATCCAGAAAGTGAGGAGGAGACATCTGAGAGCAGCCAGAAGGATAGTTATTGATTTAGGAGCGACTTTAAAGGGAGAAATACTGACTGATGTCACAGTTTTGTCCGGACCATCCCCGAAAACAGCTGCAGTGATATCCGCCAATCAAATTTTTGCAAGAGTAAGCGTTCACACAGGGCTGTCTCTCACACTCATTTGCATCTGTGAAGGCAGGAGTAAGGAGTCAATCAATTGAATGAAACCAGAGAAGGGACAAGAAGATAGGAAAGAGACCAGCAACCCAGCTTGAAGGCCTGCTGGCACTTGCGCTCTTGTATAATCGAACACTCGGAAGTTCGAGTGAGGTAAAGTTCGAGGAGTAAAGAGTTAATCAAAGAACAGTTTAAATGATGAGGATTTTTGGTCAACTTCTGAGTTACAAAACTTTATGAACGTCTAATATTTAATGGCTCAAGTGCCTTAATTCTAATAAGTTTTTTGTCCAGTTGGTGTCAACCAAGTACTTCTATAAAATTACCTGCCTATTATTGGAATTCAAAAGCACAAAATTTGATATAAATATATTCATTCTTTTCAGTTTCTTGACCAATTAAAACATTGCTGGTTAAGATCAGCGGTCACATAAGCTCGCTTCTGTACCCAGAGAGTTCTCTCCACTTTCAAAGCTATAGTCTAGATGACGCAGGCTCAGGCGACAACACCTCAGGCACTGTATCAGACTTCACACAGCTTTAAGAGCCACAAAAAGCTTTATTCAAGCCTTTACTCCACAATACATGGAAACAAACTTTGAAGAGTAAAAGTGCCGAGCTACTTTCAGGATCTCAATTTCAAATTCAGTGTAAGTGATAAAATCTGCAGTCCTCATTCTGTTCACCTGAATTTAATATTTAGCACCGAGTTATCCTGTAGTGCATTGAGTCGATGTCATTTTCGCAAAAAATTCAAATTCCCCATTTGCATCACAGGGTGTTTTTTCCCTGCTTAAGAGATTTTAGCCAGACTGAGAGAAAAGTACTGTAATTAAGTCTTACGTAAAGTTTATTTTAGAACTTGAATATGTTTTGCGCGCCATATAGACAACCTCACAGTAATTCTATACACCACTTTGACCTGTTCAATAAAGATTAACAGTTTCACTCACAAACATCAACCACCTGCAGGTATTAAAAGGGTGGAGGGTGTTTGGGGAGGAGAGGGCAGTCCGCAGGGAGTCCTGCTACACTCCCCTCACACACCTGTCTTCTCTATGAAACCCCAAACTCTACACATGCACCAATGGCCAGGTAAGACAGGAGGCCTATAGCTGCCTGTAAACTGAGACCGGAGCTGGTAAAACGACACTGAACTCTTGGGATCTCTTTCCTGCCTTTACCCCCACACACGCAACCCAACTTTGTTTACCGGTTGTAATCCATTTCCTGACTTTATGCTGGTCACGTCCGCTCATCGGAGAGGGGGGTTCTACAGAAATGAATGCCACAGAGAGTGGCCAGCAAACAGCCGGATATGCTTTGGTATCTCATAAAGTCATTGAGAAAAAGGTGGTCACGCTGTGGGAAGCTGCCAGCTCATTCAGGATACCAACATCCTATATTGTGGCCTTGTGACATAGCAGTTTCATTCCAAAATGATGAGCAATGCTATGCCTGCGTGTCAGAGGCCAATTATTTATTTTAGGAAAAGGAACAAACAGGAAAAGGGCAGAAAAACATCTTCCCCGGCTGAAATAAAAACACACTCTAATATGTGTATGCACACAAAACTCACCTATCTGGCAGGTCTTTCCTTCCCACTGAGGGAGGCACACACACTCGAATCCATCCTTCAGGTTAATGCAAGTTCCACCATGAGAACATGGACTGGAAGCACAGTCATCCAAATCTGAGGAAAATACTCAGGTAAGTGACTGACTAATCAAAAACCTGATTTTCATGGCTGGAAATCACTTTCATCATATAAAAATAAAAATGTGCGTAGAAAAGAAATGAAGACACTCACTGGCACAGGTTGGATCATCCCAGCCTGGAGGACACTGGCATTCAAACCCTGCTGGAACCTCGCGGCATGTACCACCATTTGCACAGGGACTGGAAACACAGGCGTGCTCAGCTGAAGAAACAATAGTGTGGAAGAAAGGGAAAAATTAATTTCATATGAGATATGTTTGGGTATTTTTTTCCTGTTTTTAAAAGTGTATTGTTAAAAAAAAAAATAATACAATTCTCCATTTGTCTTGCTGGATGCCTTCCCTACAAACTGTAAATAAGTTCACAGAAAAAGTGCCATGTATTTCTAACTAGCAAAACAAAGGCCAGTAAAGCTGAGAGAGGAGGAGGCGGCAGCAGCGGAGGAGAGGGCAGAAAATATGCTGTACATGGAAGGCCCACCTCCAGGGAGTGAATTCTCTCTCACCTATCTCACAGTTCTTTCCAGAGAAGCCCTCTGGACAGGCACAGTGGTACTCATCAGGCTGGGTGTTCATACAAGTTCCTCCGTTAACACAAGGCTGATGGCGACCGCAGTAATTCAGATCTGGAGCAAAAACAGCGGGGAGATGCACCGTGAAGTGAAATGACAACTCAAGGTTGCAAAGAGTGAAGCACAGAAAATCTATGAAGCTGTCTTTTTTTTCACTTTACCCTATATTTTCAACCACGTAGAGAGAAGTTTGATATTAAGTGATAAGTGAATGTTCAGAGGGAACATGAGGATTACAACTTCACCACTCAGAAACGAAAATCAAAGATGACAGGTGTTAGCTCATGTAATACACTTCAACACACCCATTTGGCAAACTGCATACTGAGAATGCCATTTTATTTGCTTTAACCTGCCTAGCCAGTTTTTGGCCATGCAAACCCCTTTGCAACCCACCTCTACCTCTACATTATCATGCTGTGTCTGACCTTGCCACACATGTGTTTGTACCCGTGTCAAGGTTGATGTGAAACATCACAGAGGCACACTGCGTGTGAGTTAATGCAGGTCAAAATAATGTTTTTACAAAACTGTTCCTGGTTGAACTGAATACTAGAATTTGATCTGTATTGGTATATTCTGAAGTGACACTACCAATAATTCTCTTTAACAATTACAAGTGGAACAAACAGCTCTCGCCTTGTTCCACTTTTTATCCCGTTGGAGCAGAGAAAGCTCGTCAGATTCCTCAGTCAGCAAGAAGCACCAGCTGTCCACTTTGACAGGAAGCACAGTGTTTTCTCAACCCCTCTGCTGCACTGCATTAAAATTAATTTTACTGTATCCAGACCACTAGCTGTGTAGACTTAGTCTGCTTATCTGTATAAATGCAGTTTTTCACAATTATATTCTTTGCTTCATTATTTTAAAACTCCCAAAAATAAACTAACTGATCGCCGCACACCAGCTTTAGGCTAAAAGCCAGGTCACCCTAAAGGCTGGTAAATAAATGAGCAGGGGGATCAGTCTCCGCTGGGGATCTTAGGGCCCATTCTCATCCCCTGAAGAGCCCTGTGTGACGAAGGGATGTGGGGGGGGGGGAGATCGGGTGTCCCTGCTGTCGCTCAGATCACACAAGCAGTAAAACTATCCAGCCGCCGGTCTCCACTCAGAGAAAATGAGCAGTAAATATAATTCAGATCTCATGTAAACAGTGTAATTCTGTAATAACTGAATAACTATAATAATATAAAGATCAATGTAACTCCTCAATGTTAATGGGTCAGGGTGTGAGAAGCTTGCTCATCTATTACTCATGAAATCCAAGAAACTGTACCTGGAGGGGGAGCAGAGGAACGTCAACAATGACTCACCCTGCCTGGTGTTGCGAGTCCCTGTGAGTACATTTTGTAAAAAAATAAAAATTAAAATAAATAGCATTTCTTCCATACCTTTTTCGCACATCAGACCGCCCCAGTTCTGCTGGCAGTTGCACTGCCAGGGGGCGTTGCAAGTCCCGTGGACACAACCAGGATGAAGCTCACATTCATCACAAAACTGGCCCTTCCAGCCATATCTGCACCTGCCAAACAAGAACACAGCCATGAATAATTTCCCTTTAACAGCTTCTTGAAAAATTGTTGGTTTCATGGTCCGAATCCTAATATAGTGAAATCACCCATCGGTGATGAATCAATCTTTTTAAAATATCTACATAAAACAATCTGCAACTTATGTCCAACAGTTTTGAAACTGATATGGTTTCATGCTTGATTATAAATCACCACAACCAAAATAGCGTCTGTTAAGGAGAACAGTTCTTAAAGACATCCATTAGGCTGTGAGCTGCTGTAGCTACTAATGATGCACAAGTGACAGAGAGCCTGTGGAAACAAACCTAATATTGTACCTGCTATAGTGTCAACACATCCCATGGACTTCTGCCAACTAATCTTAGTAGAGGGTGACATTCCGGGGCAACAGGGGTTAAGGATACTTCCAGTAGCTACAGTGCATTGGGTTAGAGTATGCGATGAGGCAGATTTGGGGGCTACAAGGGTGACGTGATGTTTCTGTGAGTGCGTGGCTGGAGGTGATTGTGTGTATACAGTGTTTATGTGCAGCAGTCTGACGCTTCGGGACTGTACTCGGCTATTCCAAGGCTGAAATGTTGTCACGGCAGCTGTCTTGTCAATTGGCTGCTATTTTGAGCCCCTTGCAGACGGCACCGCTGCCTCTCTGAGCTTTCAGCACCCCCTTCCAACCCCCTCTTCCAGCCAGTCTCGGACTGTGGGGTCCAGGGGTATCAGGGTAAGACTTGGCATGCTTCATCCACTGTATTCAATTACCACCAGAGAGCTTGACAGCAATTTGGCAATAACACTAAAAAGAACACGGAGACTGCTTTAACGTATCCAAAGAGTAATTCTGTAGTTTGTCCTCACTGATATAATTAATCACAAATGTGAAACTTATGAAACTTTTTTTTTT